AAGCCTTGAAGATGATTTTGCTCGGTTTCTGGGTTCGGATCGATGAGACGACAGAGTAGTATCCATGGAGGTAGTAGTCTGTTTCAGTAACTCTGCAGAATTTTCGAGGGAATGAAGAAGAGGCGACTAGTGGAGAAAGCAAAGCCGGAGAAGAAGAGAAGAATAAGAAGAAGACTGGAACAGATGAAAAAGTTGCATGGCGGCTTTACTGGTATAGACGACGATAACGACGATCTTTTTTTTTTTTTTTTGCAATCTTTCATGTCATAAGTTACTAATCAAGGTCCAGGCCGCCGACGATGAATTCGCCAAGTGATATTTCCGATAATCTCCGACCTCTTACGTTAATGGATATATACATACAAATTGAATATAACCTATTATATATTTGTACGTAGTTGTATGTAGCAGAACAGGGGAGGGAACCGCCGTGACTTATTGCTTTGAAAACCCCAATTTTTGCAAGTAGTCGAGTCGGGGTATGAATTTGGAGTTGACGGAGCAACAAAGAAGAATTGTTGTATAATACCGAGAGACTTAAAAATGGTATGTAAACGACGATATTCTCCCCCATGTCTGACTGTATAGATTTGATAGAACGCGAAATCTGACGTTCTACCATGACACGAAAGGACTCGAAAGTTTTATAAATGTCTGATTTTAACCATAACGGGTAAAACCAACAAAACCGTGAGTGATCAGCTACAAATAGGACAAAATATCTAAAACCTTCGGCAGAAACAACTGGTGCCGGTCCCCAAATATCGGTGTACAATAAATCAAGTACATTATTACTCGAGGAAATAACCCTATCTAATGGGAAACGGGACGACTTCCCTGGCACGACGAACATAATTGTGACACACTTGATTTGGCCAAAGTGACCGGTTGCACACATTGCATGGCCAATATTGGAAATACCCAAACCTGAAACATTGCCCACACGTAGAACGTCACCGTCGGAATAAGGGTCGGAGTGTGCCATCATCGTCAGATCGGGGGTGGTGTGCGACGACGCCCCGGTGTCTGGGAACCATGCGTTGACCGTCACCAGCCCGTCATCGCCTGAAATCGATGCATGCGGCTGTGCCGGGGATTGTCCAGAGTAGCGTTTGTTGCAGTAGACCGCGGTGTGCCCGTGCGATCTGCATATTTGACAGCGGGGACCGCCACCGCCTCGTCTTTTGCCTTGGCCTCCACGACCGCGGCCGCCGCTGCGGCCTCGCCATTGACCAGACCCGAACTGCCGGTTGCCACCGCCGCCGGCGTGAGTCGGATCGTGACCACGTCCAGCCGCCATTGCCGTGTGGGAGCCACCTGCCGGAATGCCGCCGGAGAACTCGTCCGCCCAGATGAACTCCTGGGATTGGAGGAAGTCCGAGAGTTGAGGAATAGAGATTGGCGTACCTGATACCGCAAGGGACGAAGCCATCGATCGGAATTCTGGTCTCAGGCCTCAGAAAACATACAAGTGTTGTTCATCCAAGGAGACGGGGCGTCCGGCCAACGCGAGATCCTCCACCAAAAGTTGAGTGCGACCAAGGTGTTAGGATTAAATTGTAATAGATTTTGATATGTCATATTGTAAATCGTAGATCCCCAATTTTATTTTATTAGACTAGTCGAGTCATAGACCAAGAAAGGGAAAAATAAATTCATTAGTTGAGGAAATGGATGAGGAAGATATAAAGCCTAAAATCAAGAATTTGCCTAGTGAAAATGGCAAACAAAAGAGGAAGATATATGCGTATGATATTCAAGAAGAAATCCCTCAAGAAATCCCGAAGAAGAAAGAACGTGACTTAAAGTTTGCATGAAGCTATCTTGAAGATCAAGCATCTATGGAAAGAAAGGAGTACACCAAGTGAAACAAAAAAATAACCAAAAGGTTGTACGGACGAGATGGTAGAAGCTTGAAATACTGTGTGCAACAAGGTCACAGGTTCAAATCTCACATTCTACATATTTTAAAGAAGCCAAGTTTAATTCCATCCGTTAACGTATGAGGCGATGGTTTGGCCGAAGGGATGCAATTTGCAAAGTCAATGGGATGGAAGCAATTGCAAAGTCAAAGAGGAGATTTCCAACCTTGACTAAGGGGATGGAAGCAATTGCAAAGTCAAAGAGGAGATTTCCAACCTTGACTAAGGGATGAAGTTTACAAGTGAAGGGATGAAGTTAAGTTTACAAGTGAAGGGATGAAGTTTCCCAAATTGGTATCCCGAAAATTGACATAGGGATGCAATTTCATCTGAAGGGTTGAAGTTCGAAATTGAAGTTCAAATTGATATCTCGAAGGGTTGAAGTTCGAAGGGAAGGCAATTTCAATTTGAAGGGATAAGATTTACAAGGGCTTCAATTCAATTGGAGATATAAATTGCAAGGGATGAGATTGCAAGTCCAAAACAAGTAAGGGATGAGATTTCAATTGACAAATCTAGCAAGGGATATAGATTTCATTTCCCAAAATAGCAAGGGATGAAGTTTCACAAGGGAAGAGATTTCCCAAGTCAATTGAAGAGATGAAGTCTGGAAGCAGTATACAGACCCAGACACGTGTGAAGTACAGAGGAAAATATAAGAAGAAGTTGCAGAAGTAAAAATACTAGTCTAACTAGTAAGGGATTATATTGGAGATTATATTTTGAAGATAAAAAACCCAAGAGGTGTGATCTACACCAGATGGAGATTCATGGGACGCCATTTTTGCTAAAACCTCAAGCTCAACTTGAAATCTCTGACATATCTGCAACGTTATCTTATCCTCTAACAAAAGGCTATACAACTAAGAGAAATTCAAAAATGAGAACGTTTCTCTCCAACGGAAATATTCTCATTACCAGCTATAAATAGATGAAGATTGAAGCTGAGGAAAGCAGAAGCAAATAGCAAGAAGCAAGAATACAGAGCTAAACAGAGCATACAAAATTCAAAGAAAGCTTTCCATTTCAGGAGCTTAAATTGATATATTCTTTGTGAGATAAACACTCAGAGTGATACAGAGCTTACAAAAGAAATATTCAAGAGTGTTAGAATCTTCATCAACTACAAGAGACTAAGAGCATCAACGCAGATCATCTACAGAGTCTCAAAGTTGGAATCAAGGCAAAACTTGTTTTTGAAGCAAAACAAGGGAAAGGAGGAAAGTAACACGGAGTTGTGAAATCCTGGATTGTCACACAGAGTTGTGAGATCCGAAGCAGCAGTGTCGGAGGACATTGGGCGTGATTAGTGCGGGCTTTGTGATCAAAGCACTAGATCACGGAAGATACGTTTCTACTGGATCGTAGAAGACGGGGAGAAAGTAACGCGGGGTCGTGAAATCCTGGGAAAGTAACGCGGCGACGTGAAACCGGAAGCAGCAGTGTTGGTGTCACTGGGCGTGATTAGTGTGGGCTTGGTGATCAAAGCACTAGATCACGGAATTCATTGTATCTTGGAACCAAGAAGTGGTGGATATAGTGAATTGGCTCTTGGAGAAAAGAGCAAGTGGAGTAGGAGGATTACACCACCTCGCGAACCACTATAAATTGCCTTGTGTTCTTTACTGCTTTCTTTACTTACTGCTCTTGCTTGCTTCTCACGAGAATAATCTTGACACGATCTACACACACACCGTATCTTTTATTAATTTCCGCTGTGCACCATACTCTAACAATCTAGTTAAGAGTTTTGGTTTATCTCTGGCTTAGCAATTATGGTACTGTGCTAAAAATTTTGAAAGTCTATTCACCCCCCCCCCCTCTAGACTTTCACCTTACCTCTTTTGGGACCAACACAAGGTATTCTCCGGGAGTGCTATCGCCTTGTCAGAGGGATTGGAATTGCGCAAGGAGGTTCAGGCACCGTGCCCGCGTCGACGACCCTAGAGCGGCCGTGACGGAGGTCCACACCTCTCGGGAAGTCTCACGACCGACAGGAAGATATAGAACCTCGTCGGCCATGGAGGATATTAGGAGCGACAGGATTGATTGATCCTATTGCACCCACCAATTGTGCGCTGGATTCGCCGTGGTGGTGGACGTGGTACTGCCGGAGGGCTGCCTTGCTTGTCGCCGGCGGGCATGGAGTGTCGCCGGTGACGAAGCCTAGGAGGCCTTGCCCGCGGAGAAAAGGCACCAGTTGGGTACGCCAAAAGAGATAATTTTTTGTGGTGAGTTTCATTGACACCAAGTGGTGTGCCGTAGACAAGGTGTTGGTGGTGGCCGGAGGAGGGATGGTAGCGGCGGTAACGGTTCTTTCACGGGAATTTTTCCACATGGTTGGGGAGGAGAGAGAGAAGAGGATCACCGTAAGCTAACTGATATTAGATGAGAGGAATAATTTACGTTAATTCAAAACTTCAGATAATACAGAGATACAAAAGGTCTCAAAGGCTACCTAACTAATCCTATACAATAGCTATTAGTTTATGACTAATTCAACTCTAATTATACAAGAGTAATGTGACAATATAATGTACTAAGAATACAATATTACTAACAGCGAAGACAATGCGAGTGAAGACATGGAAATGTCAGTACGTAGTAGGTGAGAGTAGTGGTGCAAATGAATTGAACCTATGGAGTTAGATATGTCTCAACAACATTTGATACAAGAGGTCTGAGAAGACATTGCATATAGTAAAATGTTCTCATTAACTTAATTTTATTGCCTTTTACACATTTAGCATTAGTATATTGAATTTATTTTTATCTAAAAATTAAATTTAAAAAATAAAATAAAAAAATTAGAGAAGTGAAAACCTGAAAAACTAGTGAATAAAAATTAGAAAATTAGAGAAATGAAAAACAAAAAAAAAATGAATATAAGTTTAGATAAGACGGAGTAACAATTTTTATTTTTTTTATTAAATGTCATGGATTTTATGAGTGGATACTTGAAAAAAAGAAAATAGAAAGGAAACAAGAAGTCTGGGAAAATCTTCAGCCACGTAAAAGGGGATAGAAATATTAAAAAGGGGGAAAAAGCGCAAAAAAGAGCGTATTGAAAACGAAATTCGCAGTTGGCATTTAAAATAAAACAAAAAATTTGTGGCACAGAAAAGAAGTGCCACAGCTCAATCGCAATTTGCATTGCTCATCAATGGAAGTGCTTCTTGGAAGCTCTCCTTCAACTTCACCTTCATCGTCTCCACTATTCATCATCACTAAAACGCCCAGAAGAAAACCTATTTCGCCTTCTCAGGTGCTCTAACTAAATCGTCTCTAGCTTCACTGATTTTGCATTAATTTTACCTTTCATCGATAATTGATCCTGCTGCTAAAATTGATGTAAAAGTTTATGTAAATGATAGCAATTTTACAGTTACAGGGGGTGTTTAGTAAATGACTGATAGCCGATTGAGTTAGTGGATTTGACTAGTTGATAGCATTAATGTGTGGTAAATTAGCTATTTAGCTGATGATATAGAAAAGTGTTTGGTAAATTAGCTGATAGATGATTACATACAAAATGACATTAATAAAGTTGAATCCTTTCAGGTGATGCTGTGGGATTCTTTATATAATAGGGGGATTGAAGCTAGATTGTGTAGTCCTTTATCATGTAAAAGGAGAAGTGAACGGATTGAAGCTACAAGTTACTATAAGTTTTATCCTCTCGGCCTGAATCATGGGAGGAGATTCTTTCTTCGACCAATCCGGAGACTTAGTAAAAAAATCAGTTTTGAACATGATTTCCTCGTTACGAAAAGTGGTTGCATTCTTGAGCTGAGGAAATTTACAAACAATCTCCGGGAAGCTATAAAACATTCAGAAATATGTACTACTGTTCCTGAAATGTTTGCTAGGGTTGCTGTTGGAGTCATGGCAGTAATGGCAATTAGTACTGCTGTTAATACAACTCCTTCTTGTAAGTCTGTTTACTGCTTTCTCTTTTCATAATTCTTCTTTTGAAGTCATCGTTGGAGGAATTAATTATAAAAAGCTTCAGTTGCTTATGCTTGTTGCATCTTGCAGTTGCTCTCAGTGAAGAAAATCAGCTTTTCTTGGAGGCATGGAGAACAATTGACCGTGCATATATTGATAAAACCTTCAATGGGCAGAGCTGGTTTAGATACCGGGAAAATGCTCTTCGCAATGAACCAATGAACACTCGAGAAGAGACATGTATGGTTTTTCCTGCTTTGTGGTTATTCATTGCCATACTATATATGCCTAGACTGTTGAAGGCTTGAAGCATTCATTGTATTGAGAACTTCATTTATTCTCCGAATGAAAGCAAGAATTTTTGTTTGTCAAGTGTGTTTACTCTCTGCTTATTGCTATTTCTATACTTAAAGATGCGGCGATACGGAAGATGATTGCCACTTTGGATGATCCTTTCACCCGGTTTCTGGAGCCTGGAAAGTTCAACAGTTTGAGGGTATGATTTTACAAGTCTTCATACATTTGTACCTTAGCCTCTATATCACACTCACTTTTAACACATATTATTTATAGATTAGTGCTTTAAGGTGTTTCCACTAAAGAGAAAACTTTTCAATATGTTGTTTGAAGGCAGTCAGGAACTCAAAGTGCACTTACAGGAGTAGGAATTTCAATTGGTTATCCCACAGTAAGGAGTGAAGCAACCACTGGACTAATGGTTATCTCAGCATCTCCTGGAGGTCCTGCAAACAGGGCAGGCATTTCATCTGGGGATGTTATCCTTGCAATTGATGATACTAGTACAGAAAGAATGGGCATATATGATGCAGCAGAACGTTTGCAGTAAGTTTCTAGTGCCAACCACTGGACACTCACTTTATTGTTGGTAAAATAGTCTGTTAACTTAGTTCAGAATCCATATCTTCAACGAATTAGATATGATATCACTGTTCATGAATATAAAATGCACATCTGGGAGGCTTCTATTCCTAGATGAGGTATCAAATATTGAAGCACATTAGTAAAGCATATACTCTCATTAGCAACCTTTGATACAAACGTAATTAGAATGTTCCAAAGTGTAATGCAATCTTACAATTCAGTGTTGAATGATGCTTGAAATAATTTCTGCCAGTAGAAGGAACATTACCTATGTGTGCATATTATGTTTCCCTTTCTTTTACCTTTTCAAAGAGATAAGTGCAAGCTACTTAAAAGTTCCATTTGTGTATATTTAATTCTCATATCTTGCATGTATTCAGGGGACCTGAAGGAAGTGGGGTTGAACTAACTGTACAGCATGGATCTGAAACAAGACACTTATCCTTAATGTAGGTGCATCTTGTTTAACTCTTATGATCTTCTCCTTAAGCTTCATTTTTTGTTAATTATGAATGAGACTTGGTAAGTAATTAAATTGGTGATGCGTGATGCATCTCTTATAAGTTGGTTTTACATACAAACTGTGGCAATAGGTTTTAGGTAATCCACTCTTTTAATGCTGTATCTCAAGCTACTTTAATTTTTGTGTATAAATGTATATGGACAAGAATTTAGTTATAACTTCTTCTTCTTCTTTTTTATTTTTAATTTATAACGTTATAAATGCAAATAATTACATATTTATGTAGGTCTATGTGCATGTACTTTTTATCTTTGTTGTATGTAAAGGGCTTACAATCTTAAATTCAACAACCTTTATGGTTGCTTTATTACAATTGCCTACATATACAATACTAATTATCTTCTGATTTCCAGCCGAGAGAAAGTTACACTGAATCCAGTGAAATCAAGAGTCTGCAAGGTACCTGGTTCTGGAGATGATGCTTCGCTGATTGGATATATCAAACTAACCACATTCAACCAAAATGCCTCAGGTAGTCATCTCATTTTCTCATGATTTTATGTACATGTCAAAATAATTTCATATGCAGATTACATTCTGTTTATAAATTATATTGGCTATTCTGCATACATTTGGATCAGTAACCTCATTAATTAGTCTTAAAAGGAAATTTGATCATTCCCTCCATGATGCCATTGTATTTATTGAATTTTATTTAACAGTTTTTGAAACAATTTCCTGCTGTTTTGACTAACTGTTCTAAAATCTGATAGGTGCTGTACGAGAAGCAATTGAAACCTTGAGAAAAAACAACGTGAAGGCTTTTGTCCTAGACCTTCGAGATAATAGGTAACAAGCTTTTGACATGCTTCATTTCTTAACCTGCTTTTGGAATCTAAAACGCTAAATCTGATGCAGTGGCGGTCTTTTCCCTGAAGGAGTTGAGATTGCCAAGATTTGGTAAGCCTTTTGGAACTGTTTTCATGCTTCAACTTGTGAACTACCGTATTTCAGTTTCCTGAGTCCAATCCTTCGCTGTTCATGTGTTTCTTCTATAAGTCAGTCTGATGGATAGATCTTCCTAGGCAGTTTCTGAAGGATGGATAAAGTTCTTCAGTATCTGATAGTAGTTCTAAGATCTACACATCTTGTTTACTTTACCTCCAGATATGATATGTAATTTTCTGATGTAAGTTTTTTGTAGTATATTATTGATATTCATTTTCTTTGATTTAAGGTACATCTGTTTTGGTTAAATCTCAACATCTTGGCATAATTTAATAATTTTAAACATTTTGAGTCATGTCTTATATTATACTAGTCCGTTAATGAACCAGTGTTCTCCATGATGTCATGATACGAAAGAAACACACTCCAATTTTTGTGCTGACAGGTTGGACAAGGGTGTAATAGTGTATATTTGTGATAGCCGTGGTGTTCGAGATATATATGACACAGATGGTACGAACGCAGTAGCAGCTTCCGAACCCCTTACTGTGCTGGTAAGCCAGCATTTTGACATCATCTATTCATATATGTATGTATACTACGAGCTTTTAAGCTAGGTATTCTTCTGTTTTTCTTTCCAGGTGAACAAAGGAACTGCAAGTGCTAGCGAGATTTTAGCCGGGGCATTGAAAGATAATAAGCGTGCAGTGCTGCTTGGGGAACCAACTTTTGGGAAAGGGTAACAACTACGATTCATCTCCATACCTCTCTCTAACTGTGATTTGTGAAGCAACGTTTTCTCACGTGTTTATTTTCAATACAGCAAGATACAGTCGGTTTTTAAACTATCTGATGGCTCTGGCCTGGCTGTCACAGTTGCTCGGTATGAGACACCTGCCCATACCGACATTGACAAGGTTCCTCCTTCTCTCTGTTTCTGACGTTTGCACGTTATATGGTTGTTTTACATCACATAAACATCTCAAAGCATATGCTTTTTATCTAGGTTGGCGTGATCCCGGATCATCCTTTACCCGCGTCTTTCCCCAAAGACGACGAGAGCTTATGTGGCTGCCTCCAGAACCCCGCCTCTGCTTGCCACCTTGGTCGAGCCGAGTTATTTTCAAGATGACAATAATCTACAAGGGAGGAAAATGAAATACATTTTATTACAATTTTTTTCTTCTTAAGAAATCCATTAATTCTTTGATAGTTGCCAGTTGCCAGTGTGTGTTTGATATCTGACCGTGTACAGAGAACTGAGAGAAGTAATATGGGAGGTTTCCCTCCATTATAGCATGCTTTAAATTGATACTTTTTTTTTTTTTTTTTTTTGAAAGCACTTTAAATTGATACTTGGAACTATAAATGTTGAAATTTCATTATGGTAAAACTACTTTGCTAAATGCTTTTGAGTTTAGGGCTATCAAAAGTCAAAACTCAAAAGTGCCATTGATAGTGGGGCTTTTGACAGAAATGAGAACACTTTTGAGAATGCATTACTTATTATAATTAAAATTCTTTTTAAAGTCAAACACAAATTAGAAGTAAATTCACTAACCCACCCAATAAAAAAATAAATTTGTTTATTAATTAAAGGAATAAGGGTCAAATAGGCTACTTTCAAAGTGCAATTAGACCATCGAACTAAAAAAATGTAATTGGATCATTGAGCAACACAAAATAATGTAATTAGGTCTAAAATAACTTGTTGACTTGAAATTAAATACAATTGGATTCCTGAGCAATACAAAATAATGTAATTAGGTATAAAATAACTTGTTGACTTGAAATTGTGCTAACGTGACGGTTGCCAAATTTAAAAATAATTTTTAAATTTAAATAAAATAATTAATTAAAATTTATTAAAAAAAAAAAAAAAAAACTACAACTGCCGGAGACGAATCATCTCCGACAGTTCCGTTTCCATGGCCGGAGACGAAGAGCTTCGTCTCCATGGCCAGGAGACCATCCCTTCGTCTCAGGCCATGGAGACGAAGCTCTTCGTCTTCGGCCATGGAGACGGAACTTCCGGAGACGATTCGTCTCCTGCAGTTCTAGGTTTTTTTTTTAATTAAAATTTTAATTAATTATTTTATTTAAAATTATATTTAAAAATTATTTTTAAATTGGTAGCCGCCATTTCAGGTAAACAGTTCATTTTGGACCTAATTACATAATTTTGTGTTATTCAGGGACCCAATTGCATTATTTTTTAGTTCGATGACCTAATTGTACTTTGAAAGTGGCATATTTAACCCTTATTCCTTAATTAAATACAAATATATCATATCAAATGGACAAATACTACATTATAATAAAGTCAATAATACTAAAAAAAAAACATATCAATTATCAAATGATGAAAAATTTTGAACAAATTATCGTATGGACCATAAATACAATATACATTTTTAATATACTAAAAGTACATTATCTGTATATTGAATGTACATTATTTAATAATATATATATATATATATATATATATATATATATATATATATATATATATAAATTGTACTTTCTACTTTTATTTAAATTTTTGTCACAATAATATGATCTATTTTCCTATATCCAAGCAATCCAAATTGGCTGTGGATTCGGGTTGTATATGACCCGGTATAAATATGGGCGCACAGAAGAGAGATCTGATTCTAGAAGCGCGACGCAAGAAGGAAACAAGAGGCTTCTGAGAAGAGAATTGAGAACTGAAAAGATGAAGCCTATGGCGGTAGACTACTTCGCGGATTTGGATGAGCAAGGATCCACCATGGCGATGGACGTAGACGACGTGGAAGCGCTCGAGATCTTTGGCGAGGGTCCCCTCGGCGGCCCTACCGAGCACCACCGCCTCGCCGATGCCGACTTCTTCAACTCCTTTGAAGACGATTTCGACGATTCCGACATCAACTGAAACGGTGTTTTAGTGAATTTAGTCCCCCCTCCTCTCCTCTCCCTGCCAAATCAATCCTTCTACTCTTTATTATCTGTCGTGTTTCTGAATATCCACTCAGTGGATTCTGCTGAAGAATTAACCGGAAATTGAAAGTTTAAATAAAATTTTATGTTCATTGTGTTTTTCAGTTGCCAGTCTCTTGTTGAAGTAGTTCTGAGTAGGGTTTAATTGCATTTACTTCATCAGTATAAACTATTACTCTCTAGAATTCTAGGTGAAATTACCGTGTGTTTACTGAGTTGTATGAGAATTTTACGTCGTTTCTGATTGATTTGATCGGCTACTTTTTCATAGTATAATGATTAATATGGTGCAGAATTGAACTATATTTTAGAATTTAATTAGGGCTGTGGAAATTAAAAATTACTCATATTTTGTTGTTGTTTTTCTGTTGTGTCTTAACAATGGTTAGAATAGCTAGATTGGTTGGTAAATTGGAAGTCCTTTAAAATTTGTTTTCATGGAGGGGATGAGTTCTCCTGCAACTTGACTGAGCATTTACTGACTTTTGTTTGGTAGGACAAATTTCTCCATTTACTGAGCATTCTCTTCAAACAGAAACTCATTTTTGATAGTGGTTAATGTGTTGCTTGAGAATGTAGATTTCATTGCTTGTGAAAGAAAGTGACATCTTAGTTGGAATATTAGGCATTTAGGCATACTCTTCTGAGCTTTTGAAATTGGATTGTATGTATATGGTTAAAGTGAGTTGGCTTTGATGGTAGGAGGGCTGCAGACTTGTTGGTGTCTAATACTCTGAAGAAGCCTCCTTAGTCCTTACCTTTAAGTTGCACTTGATATGTACTTTTAAGGTGGTGTACATAGAGGTTCTATTTTTATGGGTAATGTACTAAACATCACTAGGTGCCATCGGGTGGTGGATAGGTGTTAGACCCGTAAAACCAGTGAGTTTGGTTTTGGCATGGGAATGGGTTTTGCCGTGGCTAAGTTGTGAGGATGGCATGGCTTAGGAGTCGGTCGGCTTGGTTGGTCGGTTGCTTAAGTCGCGGGTGGTTGACTTGAATAGGCACGTTTGATGGTGCATGGCTTGGTTAAGGCTCGGACTTGGTCTGTGACCAAAGGTGTGTGAGGCCTTGGCAAGTTTGTGGTTCGATGGGCTTGGGTCTCGTGGTCTTGTCGGTTGGGCAAGGTTGTTGGTTTTGTGAACTAGTACGGCGTGGCTAAGTGTTGGCGTGCCAGTGCGAACGGGATGGCTCGTTCGTTCTTGGCCAAGGGCGCGACCTTGGGTGAGCATGTGTGCAACATGTGATGGCGGTTTCCAAGCTCGTGCGGAGCATGTGAGGCGGTTCTAGACGAGCAAGGTGGCAGCTTGTTATTAGCCTTCATAAAGCTAAGCAATTGGCTTGTAATCGCCTTGATGTAGTTTTTGGCTGTAACACTCTTGGTTTTAGAGTGTCGTGACGATCCTAGGTAGGCTGTGTTCCTTTATAGATTTACTTGATAAAAGTGATAGCAAATAATATATTCATTTTTAGGAAAATGAACTAAATAGAAAAAATATGTAGTTTTTAACTTTCGGCCAAATAATAATAATAATAATAATAATAATAATAATAATAATAATTTTACACATTCAGCTTTTATAAAATTAAAATATTTTTCAAAAAATAAGCTATTTGTTGAGAATCATTTACTAAAAAACATTTTTGCAATTTCCAATTGAATCTTTTAATGTTTATTAAAGCGGTAACTACTACCAAAGTCATCTTGGCCTATGAACGTGTAGATTGTGTGTCTTGCCATCTAAAATTATTATTAGGATTTACAAACCCAAATTTGACATCAAAAGAACTTTTTCTCAAAAAATTGTGTTAATAAAAACAATACGCCAAAACTTTTTGAGTGAACGTCCAAAAAGAAATCGGTTTAAACCCTTGAAAGAGGTTTTAGTTTTTGGGTTTCTAACAATGAACTTTGGAATAAAAACTTGTATAAAAGACAATTTGAGTTTCCAGAAAAGTGAAGAATGTTTTCACTTTGTATAGATGTCCAGATGGAAGACAGACATTCTTTTTCTCAAACCAAACACAGAAAAAAGTTATAAACACTTGCATAGTGTATCTGTGCATTGTGCAATCATCTTTTCTTATCTGATCTGATCTTTTTATCCCCCTCTTACGATAAAAATCAACTAATGTACATTCAATCCATCCATCCATGTATTTCACCAGAAACACGAGTGACACATTAGTAGACATCCACCAAGAAAAATTTTGAAAAACGAAAGTAAACTCCCATTGCTCGACACCCCACCACATATCTTTGTATACCCCGGAAAACCTCAAGCCGCTCTGAACAATAGTTGCGGAAGAAGCATGAATCCAGCTTTGCACCCACCATATAGAGAAGAAATAGAAATGTTCGTTTTCAAATTCCAGCGTCCCCCATTACTCCATCAAGATTCCCCGTGGCACTTGGTGAAAGGCATTCTACCTCGCTGCTACCTGTCTGTCAAGCGTTCTCGGATCCATTATGTTGCAATGACAATCCGGTACATACTGCATTCTTAGCATATTTTGAAGTGGAAACGTTGTCAATAAAACAGGGAGTAGTCATCTCAAATTCAAATTCATGCTAGTCGGCTAGTGAAAGAAAAATTATTAGTTTTGCATACCTTCAGATATTTCTGATGAATGGTGGATATCTAGCCTTCTAAAGCATAAGTCGGTAACTGCATCAAATTATCAAGACGAATATGTTGGTGAAACAAGAACAGAAGTTATATTGCCATGATTACACCTACATGAAGCAATAAAGGAAACAATAGGTGCTCATGGCCCTTGGGAATACAACAGTCTTTGTGGAGTTGAGAAAATATATATAAATTCAAGCGACTTTGAGGGGAAATATCCTGAAAAGCTATACAACTGGGCCCCTTTTGGGTCTAGTGAAATTTTGAACTACTGCACAGGCATTGCTTTTGAGGCGTTTCAGATCACCAAAGGTGATGCAACGGAACATCCATTTTGGGCGTTTGGGGTGTTCCACCACCCCAAATGCCCAAATAGCCCTCTCAAATGCAATAGTTATACCATGGACCAGGGTTCACATTGCATTGTGAACCCTGATACAAAAATTTTGTACCTTCAGTTAACACATTTTGTACCTACAGTTAACAATTTCTGTACATGTAAACAAATAACTTGATAGTTGCTGACACACATGATAGCTACAGCTCAATTGCAGGTACAGAATGTGTCAACTATAGATACAGAATCTGACTTGATAATTGCTGACACATAATATGATAGCTACAGGCACAGAAACTATCAACTGCAGGTACAGAATGTGTCAACTATAGATACAGAATCTGAAGGTTATTTTAGGACCAGGGTCTACAATGCAAGGTAGACCCTGTTCCATGGTATAATTTGCCTCCCAATGGAGCCTTAGTCTGGAGCAAAGTCAGCTAATGCCCAAATATTTTTTTTTAAAAATAAATAAATACATAACTGCATCGATAAGCATAACCCACATGAATAGTCACAGATTTTTCTGTAAATAATGATCCTCTCATTTTATGAACTTTTTTCTGGATAATTAACTGACATCTATTAAAACCACAGGACAAGGTTAGCTTAAATTGAAGAGAGAAAAGTATGCAGCAAGTTCAGATCTTCAATTACCTCAAGCATGTTTTCATCAGGAAAAGAGTTCAATGTACGATCCAATCCATTTGAATTATCATATTGGAGGATCCTCAATTTTCCTTCCTGCGAGTTCAGTTTAGATTGAGATGTTATTCAGAAAAGAGCAGCACAATTTAAGGAATATACGAATAATAACCTACGGTTTTTCTTTACCTTGGTTCCATATACAAGTCCCCCACCAACTGAAGGATGGAAACATGCAACATTGACCTCATCCTCTGAACTGGGAAGAACTCTCACTAGTTCCATATCAGAAACTCTATATACCTAATTAGTAAAAGTAGAAAATGAGCGGAATTACTAATTACTAACTATGAAAATAGTAGCATTTATTCACCAAGATAAGACTCGAGCATAGGGAGAGAAGCGTGTCCCCATCTAAACTCACACCAAAAATTTATTAAGGTCAATAAGAATGTAGTTTTATTGTTGCATAATAGACTACATATTAGATATAATCAGACTTCAAACCTGTTTAGATGTTCAGATATATATGAACCACAGGACCTATATTTTGCGTTCAGGATTTGGCCAATGGTAGGCTGATCTCTTTTCCAGTCATTTGGCCCAGCTGAAATCACCTAACCCCATCCCCAATAATATACCAAAAACAGAACATGCTATAAATTACAGATCTCAGTAGTGATGAATTTAAGAGTTGGTTGGCATTCAAGGATGCCTGCTCAATACACTAGAACTAGTAGAGACTACTCAACTAGTGCCTAATATTAGAAAATAAGACAAGTGTCGTCTCACTGAATGTTTTGGGCAATCCCTTCCAAACTGAATACTTTAATAAAAATTTGCTTTTGCAACATTTGAGTAACACTATTAACGCGCACATCATAATTAGATCCCAGCATGAGTGAATATAGTAATACTGGAGGAGATGAAAAAGGAATAAATTTTAATGGGACCTATTAAAAAGGGATAAAATTTAAAACATCTTACCTCAAGAATTGTGTAAATAGGTACCGTTGTATCGCCATCAATCACAACACTTTTAAGAAGAGAGCTGTGACGTCGGCCATAGGCAAGTAGCAGATGCTCAGAAGAGGGCGAAAACTGCAATTACAACAGACGAGTAACTTCAATAAATGACCACGTCATTAATCCACACTTCTTACAGAGAGAATATAATTTATCATCTCTGGGAAATGGAGTTTCAGGGTACTTTGTGAAATTAAGAACCATAAAGTTATAAAAGCCCTTTTATTATCATTTCACAATCAAAACTGTACACCAAAAAGGATTTTAAGGGAGTGAATATGAAATTATTTGCAAATAGATGCCTCAACACTCAGGCTGATAGTTTGAATAAAATGGATGATGAGTCAATGATAAAGATGATGTCTGCTCTGACTGGAGAAATAAACACTAGTACAATTATTTTAATTGTTAGAAAAATAAACATGTTTTAGTAATGTAGAAAGTAACTGATGCAAGGATGCCAAAACAAGTAAAAATGACTTCATGATCACTGACAAACAGAAAAATTTCTTTTTACAATTTACATACAAGTCTAATACTGCAAAAAAAAAGAAAAACCTTATAAATGCACTGACCTGAATTGAGGTTAAACAATGTGCAGCTCTGATAGCCCTAGATGCAAGCACTGAGCCAAACCTACATACACAGAGACCTTAGCTTACAAAAAGCCAGACATATGAGCTAAATGGAAAAGAATTGAACTCTAGGATTTACGTTGATTCCTCAAGCGAATATATCCGCAGCTCATACATAATCCTGTGAGCTGAAATTGGATGTCTAGTTGGCGACGTTCCAGCCCCCATTGTGTCATGATGAATATGTCCATGAAAACCAGGATCAATATCCATGTTTGGTAAAACACATGCAACACAGGCTGCTAAAAACCGTCCACATGGTGAAAAATGTGCACCCATCTCACTGGAAAACCATTAGATCTCAATGTCAGATTTAAACAAATTCATGGGTATAGTTTGGATTTTATTTTGGTTACTCAGATACAGCATAAGGAGACAGACTTCTAGAAACAATAACATTGAATTAACAAAAAATGAAGAAATGATAACAATAGTTATTAGGGATAACAATAACAACAGAAATAACAGGAAGCATAATACAGGCTTGTAGTTAATCTCAAGATGCAACAAACTACAGATAAAGCATACCTGCAAAGTACAGCATGCGGTATAGTTAAGCGACATCTATCTGCATCAAGAGGTGCACAAGGAGCTTTAAGGTCGTGTGGCCATATTCTAAGCTTCACAGTGCAAGGCAACTCAGCTGCTGCTGCAGCAGCAAGTGAAGTAGCAATCTCAGATTGGATGTGGCTCATAGAAGGTTGAGTGTCCATATCATCATGCACGATATTGTATGAAGCAGCACCGTCACCAGATCCAGTTGTGGGTATAACACGAGAGCGTGAAGAACGGTGCCGCGAACCAGGTCTTCCTGAAACCCTTGGTTGAACAATGTTGGATGCAGCAGGGGGTACTGTTGAGGCATTGTCTAGCTCGTCATAAATGGGCAGGTTGTTACCCCCATTTTGTGAATGCATTGCCCGTTGCCCAGCCTGACTTTGGCCAACCAACCACCCCTGCAAGAAAGGTAGGTCCCAGTATGCTGGGTCACTAAAAGGGAAAAACTGATTGTTCCTCTCTTCCTGCTGCAAATCTGTCTCCATGGCATCTACTAAAGGATGAGAAAGAGCATTGTCATGTTCCCTCATGGAAGAACCAGCTTGTGCTCCTTGCACAGGTGGATTACTTGGTTCAATTGGGGACAACAACAGTTCATACTGGCCAGAAGGAGTGGAATATGTAAGTAGCCTCACAGATGCAGAAGTATCTCCTCTCTGTTGCACATTATCAGGACCTGAGTCCGCATTACTCTGCTGTGAAGGCATTCTAGGATCTCTACCAATTGATGGCCAGATCATAAAAGGAATAGACATGATAGGCAGTTCATTTGCTGATGCAGATTGATAAGTGGAATGAGCATCTGTCAAATACACAGTAGGAGGTGGATACCGCAAGTTACCCGGTGAAGTTGCTAGTGTCATAGATGAATCTGACGAGTCCAGATCATTGACCTACAATGCATAATGTTATAAGAACAAACATCATCCAAAAGATAAAATCTTGGATTAAAAAGCACCAGACTGATACCTCAGCAGTTAGAAGAAATGGGGCAGCATGTGGATGGAAATGAACAGCCCGCAATGAACGACGTGTCTTGAGTATAATGGCTGGTGATGAAGACTCTCCTCTTCTGTTGTAATGCCATATATAGAGCTGTACAGGTTACAAAGTAAGGATCAGAATTCAGAAGTAGAAATATTTTTTACATGAAGCTCAGAAACATATTTGTAGATTCCTCACCTTGTGGCCCGAAGCTACAGCCAAAATCTCCCCCTGGGCATGGAAGGCAATAGAAGCAATAGGACGATCTGTATGGAGGAAAAGTTTCACAGTTGATACAACAAAAAGAAAATTGAAACACAGATTATTTTAATTTCAAATGTTAAAGGCTATTACAAAAATCCCGCGACCCTATGCACTCAGCAGTTTTTGCATCCCATAAGCGAACTTCATGGTCTAAGCTTCCACTAGCAAGTATATCAGGATGCAATGGATGAAACCTAACCTGAAATAGTTAGAATGGAATCTTAGATGATAGAAAGGAAAATTGCATCCAAAGTATTATGCCCCATGAGCCAAGCAATTCTTGAGTCCGATGAAACAGGTGTATATGTGGATTAATAAAACATTTGTCACCTCAAGAGCAATAACCATTAAAGGGAAGCATAATAAACTACAAGACTCTTTCAATCAGTGCTATAGCACAAAAGTTAGTAATACATTTTATTTAAGATAATGCCATATTAATACCATATAGAAAATGAAGGCATTATAATACATGGAGCTACAAACAAAGTGAAATAGAATCCTCTGAGGTAGCAAATATTTAGACATAAACTTGGTATTTTTTAGAACATACTAATACTCTATTCCTCTTTCACATTTCTGACATTTAGGTTGACATTTATATAAAAACAAATCGAACCAGCCAATATGGCAGTCTCAGAATTCAAATGAATTAAATGGGGAGATGCAAAGCTTCAGAAGGCATCCTTACCACCCAAGGTGTTCTACGATGGCCACTCAACACTTTTAAGCATTTCCCAGTTTGACATTCTATTATCTTCACTGTATGATCTCCGCTGGCATCACAGAAAACAGAATACTAAGGTCATCCTCATCATATAAAATAATTCATATCCATCATTGTATAACGAATTCAGCATCCATCTATTATGCATATATCTAGTAAACACATACAGGTATATATAGTTGTGATCATAGTAAAGATTTGGAAATTTTTCATTCAAATCCTATGCCTCAATTCAATTCAATTCGATTCATCTTCCAGATCTGAATCCATTGGTAATATTAGGTTATGCAAATTGCGAGTTCAGCTCAAATCACAGATTCTTAACTTATACTACAATTTGATTCACAATTAAATATCAGAAATTCATTTGCCACAGAGCCAACAGATTACCCACTTTTCTCAATAACCTTGGTGATGTACCTTTAGTTTTATATGTCAAAGATGCTTGGCAAAACCTAACTACCAGCTCCAACTTTGGGTTCTTACAAAAATGATTAATAAATCAATTAATAACCCCGTTTGTCAAAATTTATAATGGGCATGAATGTGCACTGTGCAGGTTTAATTAACTAACAGACGGAGCTTAAAATTTCAATTGTCTTATAGTCTGTAAATTACTTTGGTAGAACTTCCCTCCCATGTTTAGTTCAACGTGTCAAAAGAAAATTACACACATAATAAGGAATATTTTTAAAGAGACCTTGAGTTCCGGCATATTTATGTGTCAAAGTCAATTAGGATCTGCACCACATTCAGATGAGTATGATTGATTCTTAACAGGAAGTCAAGAACCCATACTGCAATTTGACTGAGTGACACTTGATTATGTAAATAAACAGATAGATGTTGACACCAAGACATACATTATATAAATATATACTTGTACCATTCTCACAAGATGGTAGGATGGTGGGAACTTACTGGGTAGATGCAAGCGTCTTTCCATCTGGACTGAATGCTGCAGCAATAGTTGATCGAGGAGGAGGTAAAAGGGGGCAATACTTGGCTGATAAATGCCGTAATGATTCTGCCTCTACCCTGCAATAAAGGAATTAATCCATATAAGAAAAAGTACAACTTCGCCATGCATACATCAAAGAATAATGTAGATCGCCATGATTCTGCGGTTATTATACACAAATTACCATGATATAAGACCCCGCTTTGCATCCCTAGCCACACCACCCTTTAATCCACCACATGTAGTCTCCTGCCTCCAAAACCTTTTGGAGGACCGTTTACTTCGGGGAGATACCTCCCTACGAGCTAACAGCTGGAAGACATTGCCACAGCTGGTACAAGGGCAAAATTATGTAAGTATCATGGATAAAACATGCATACAAAAGTTAATTTAAGCTCAGCACTACAAATTTGATATTACCATGTACCATATAACAAATGCAACCTGAGTATACAATAGTAAACTACCCAAGTAGCAATCAGAATAGACAGACATAAAGATGAATGGGTAGTAAATTAAATTTCAGCAAAACAAATTTGGCATCACCCAGGCCCATAATGTACAAGCAACCTCAATACCTCAAGCCATCACAATGTCATGGTAGTGTTACTAACCCAATCAATTTGAAATTAAACTTGTTAAGCAACAAACTAAAAGTTTTTTCTTTATATATAAAACCTCCCTCACGATCAATGATCATGGCAATGTCATCAGTATATACAAATGCATCCTTCACACTCTAACATTAAATCCTGTAAACTCAGTGCAAGCCATTTAACCCCAAAAAACACAACATAATTCTAATCAGAAATGCAGACCCCTAAAACAATTTAGGGTGGAGTGGTCAATTTTTAAAATCCAATGTATACTAGCATCCCATTGCGATCACTATAACATAGATAATTTAAGAACAAGTCAATCAGATTGAGACCCGCAATCTAATAATTCATATTTGTATTGCCAAGAAACTCCTATATAATATGCCTCACAATTCAGCTAGAATTGACACAAAAGAACCTGCCCAAAATCAGATCTTTAGATCAAAATGAGCTAAAAATAAAAAAAATTAGGCAATCTATGAATTCACAATGGACCTATTTTTGTGATTGGGATTTGGGGGGGGCGGCGCCCCAGGCTGGGGTGCGAGATTCCGCGGCGACGGAATAGGAACCGACGACGATGGAGAAACGCGTGAATTCTCCGGCCAGAGAGACGACGACGAAGGCCTCATGGTTTGCCCGAGAACGTCTCAATCCCCGGGCATCGGAAATTAACTCCAACGACTTTCTCCCGAAGGTTCAGATTGGGCCGCCCGGGTGTGGCCTCGATTGAATTGCTGTAAATACTCTCCCTCCCAATTCTGAACGAATTACGAGGACGACGATTGCGGCGAGATCTTGGGCCCAAGGGCAAACTGGGAAACCACACAAATTCGACAAAGGGGAAGAGAGGGAGCCAGGGGAAGACGCTGGACTGGGTTGGGTGAATGGGTGGGGCTTTCTTTTCCGGCATCGGACGCTTTCTAATATGTATTTGCGCCCCAGCCCCGCTGTGAAAAGACATTAATGCCCCTTTCTATATCACAATTCTCAGATACAAATTTCGTTTCCTACGCGCTTACCGCGACCGTGCCCATCACCTACTGTTCTTTGCTTTCAAGTCAATACTCAATACCATTCTTAATATCCTTTGAGTAATTGAGTTATGACACATTCTCAAAGGTTAAATAAGTCCCTAAATTTTATTATCAAAATCAATTACATTCTTAAAATTTGTTTTTTCAAAAAAAAAAACATTCTTAAAATTTGTAAATTATAATATGTCGCTAGAGTTTCAGCAACCTTCTGACCAACTCCGATCTAGAAGGCAACCAAATAGTTGCCATTCCCAGATGAAATGGTTCCTTTCTCGGCAATAAGTAACTTTTTTGGTCTTCAAAATTTTCGTCGGAAGTTGGTCGAAAGGTCGTTGGAGGTAGTTAGAGTTGGTTGGAATGTCGCGGGAACCTTAGTGATCTGCTATTACAGGTCATCAACTGGTTTTGGACTACAATGCACCAAAATAACATGTTTAATTGCACATTTTAAAAGTTTATAAGTCTAATTGATTTTTCAAGTAAAGTTTAAAGGTCTATTTTACCCTTTTCCATAATATATTTTATTGAATATCGTTAGGTACTTAGGTCACTAGAAATATGGTGTCTTTTAATTGTAATAGTTCACAAATCATATATATAAGATACAATGTACTAAAAAGATTCTATATTACATGTTTGATCAAGAGGATATCGGCAAGAATTAGAATCGTAATGTTTTAATACAGAAATAATGTAATATCTCTGTGTGTGTAGACATGGATATCAATACTTAGAAGTGTAGTTTCTTTGATCTATAATTGTAATTTACTATTCAAAACATTTCAAAAATTTTCCCTTTTTTTTTAATGATAGTATCGATTAGTAAATATAAAAAATTCATTTTTTTTATTATTATTCGTATATTAATATAAAAAAGTAACATAGGAAAATGATATAGCTATTCTCTTACTAATAAAAAATATTAAATGCTTTGATTAAATTAGTAGTACCATATCAATGATACACCATAATATTTATTACTTTATGTCTTTAATAAGTGATATTTTTACGCGATATAACATTTTGCTTTTAAAATAGTATTATTCACTTTTAAATTTTGATTACATATCTCAATGGGTTTCAGTGCCAACATACTAATTAAGCAATTCCTATGGTTTGAAATTTGAAATTTCTATGGTTATGAATACAATTAATCATGGATGAGTGAAGTATCTATAATGGATGCATAGATAATGAGTTCAAAAATATAATGGTATATGAAGCGATATGAGAATTAAACATTACACTTACTCTAAAGATACATAAAAATTTGTACAAGTAATGATATAATTTTTAAATTATTAATTTATATCAAATTTTATTTTCACTGGTATAGTTTTATATTTTTTTTTTTTGAATGCTCACTGGTATAGTTTTATATGATTAGCTGCTTTCAAAAAAAATATATATATATATTGTAGTGATAAGTAATTAAATTACTAGTAATCAATGAATATGAATTGTCACGGCGCTTTCATATTTTAATTTTACGTGTTTATGTAGTTTATTTGATAATTAGCAATGATGACAGCTAATTGACAAACAATTATGAACGTGAAGGATTCTAAATCACAATAGCATATGTAAATTTGTGTACACATTTTTTTCATATAAAAAATACATTTTCTTTTCCATATTGATTTATTATTATTTGAATTATGCGCTTGGCGGATTCAGCTTGACTTAATCCCAAATAATAATAATAATAATAATAATAATAATAATAATAATAATAATAATAATAATAATAATAATAATAATAATAATAATAATAAATAAATAAATAAATAAAAACATGTTTTCATTTTCCATTCATCTACTTCTCCAATATAATTCTCTGTTTTTTTTTTAAATCCTCAATTTTTTCATTTTGGTGAACGATTCCAAAAATTTTCTGTCTATGTTTCTTCGAAAGATTTGTGGAGATGATAAATTCCCACCCTTGATCAACTATATAATCAAACTAGTAGTCCAAAAAACATGTTTGTTATTTTATTTTTTAAAAATTAAAAATATTTCCAATTACTAAACACACTATTACTTTAATGATGTATTATTAATAATAACATTTAAATATTGAGCACAACGTTTCACACAAGAGGCATGCCCTAGAGGTCTAGATTATTATTATGGAAAATAAATGGTTAAAGTACATGTGAGGTCTCTGATTTGTATCTTAATTTAATTTGTATAATTCAGTCTATATACTTAAAAATTGTATAATTAAAAACGATTACTAAACTGTTAAAATTAAATGTAAATTTTATTGATATGACATCGGCGTTATCACTGTCACATCAATCAATATAACATAATAATGTGTAATGCCAACTCAAATTTTATTTTATTAATATTAAAAGCACTTGATGTAATCATTCTAAACTCCAAATGATTCCAATATCACATGTTGTTGTATGTGTAGTTTTTGGTGGGAGAGGGGGGGGGGGGGGGGGGGTAGATGGCTTCTTTGCCACTTGCTATAATGAGACTTGTCCATTTATTCTTGATATTTTCCCAATGTCACCAAGTGCTATATATGCCAATGTTCTCATAACACCATTCCCCTTACCCTAGTCATTGCCAAGTCACATTAGCTTTGCCAAGGAAAGAGAGGTTCTGAATATATAGGATTATGTCTTTACTTTAATGATGTCAACTAAGAGTTTTGAAATTCAATCTATCCTCTTTCTTTTTTATCCAAAATCTTCATATTATTATACTTTAATACTCATGTTAATTAGTGTAATAATAAGTGTATTGTTATGATTTCAATATGATTAATTTGGTGAATTAACTGCTAGAAGTAGTGCTTACAAAACTATCATTAAAAGGAATATTTGCATAATTTGGAGGAGTACTTTAGACCAAAGCTTATCTAATCAAGTTATCAACATATAATCATCATGGAGTTTTTGTTTTTTTTGTTTTTTTTTTTTTTGTTTTTTTGAAATACTCAATAAATCTTTACAATGTAGTATCTGTTACAGCCCAAAGAATCTAAGCCCCACCATCCCCGGATGCCATCATACATCATAGTACATGGTAGTTGACAATTATCATGGGGTTTAATTGTACCATAACAGGGGTACGGTTATAAAGATTGAACATTAATCCTTAGGGAAATAGACAAGATTTAAATCAAATGGTGTTATATATAACATCATTTTATAATAAATATAAGTATTCTGAATAATAATTAATAAAAGCATTCATTTCAATTATTTGATTGAATTTCAACGTATATGCAGAAAGAATTTTATACTTACAGAATTACGGTACTAGATTACAAAGACCTTTTGACATCTTTTAATCTGTTGATTCAAATTGTATTTCCTTAATACAAGTTTAATAATTTACAAATAAAATTACAATAAATAAATAAATAAAACAATGCACACAAGCACACAATCAAGGATTTTTTTTTTTTTTTTAATGCTTACTTTTGAGAGAGTTTGTGCTTTTTCAATTTTTAATTTCTTCTTTTGTAGTTTAATTTTTGTTTTTCAAGTCTTCACAAGAGAGGAACAATTAGAGGTTTGGAGAATCGAAAAAAAATTGGAAAAAATAGAGTTTTGTACTTTCGTGAATTGTGATTTCATGCGTTTTTTTTTTCTATTTAAATAATTATATAATTATAACTTTATAACTAAATATAATTAAAAGTTGGAGAAAAATTGGGACTCTCCATTGAGCCCGCTGCACAATATAAATCTTCTTAGAGCATCCATTATAGTGGAGACATTTTGTGATTTTTGAGGAGTTTTTGTAAGTATGCATGATTAGGAAAAAGAATATGAGAGGGGAGAGGGAGAGAAAAAAAAATAATAATAATAAAGCAAAACTGATTTAAAATACTAATAATATAAAAAAACATGCGCCCGTTGGGCGCAATGTGACACTCACGCTGCTTAGGCGGGGGGAGTTTTTTTTCCAGTAAGTCCCACTTTCTGAAATATTCCTTCATTTGCAGATGCTTTCCATTTTTCTCTCTCATACACTCTCTTTCCTCTATGTCATTGAACACTATTCCAAGAACTGTACTCCAAAATAACCATTGCAGGGCGTTTGGTTGGAGGAAATTTAAATTTCCTTCCCACCTAATTCCAAAGGTCATAAAATTCATTAGTTTGGTTGGAAGGAATTGCAATTCCCCCATTTTCATGGAATTAAAATCCCATGTCCCCCTAGGATTTTAATTCATGAGATTTTAGGAAGAAAAAAAGCAAGTGATGAGACAAAAGTATCCCTCTTTTTTTTAACCTAAAATTAATACCACAACAACAATGAGCATTTTGGATTTTATACTGCTTATTCCCTTTCAATTCTCATGTATACCAAACATTGGAATTCAAATTCCCAGTAATTCTATTCCTGTAAACCAAACGCTGGAATTTAAATTCCCACTTTATTAACAGTAATTCATCTCCCATGGAATTGCAATTCCTTTCCCACGTAATTCCCCGCTCCAACCAAACGCCATGTTGATCTTCATGCTCTTAGTACTATTTATCTTTATTATGTAATTTGTAAACTATTATACTAGATCACAAGTTCACAACTTACCTAGCTAGTGCCTCTTGGTAGTGATTACATATTTCGATCTCTCGTCACCCAAATAAATAAATAAATAATAAAAACTTTGTCTGGCATGATTCAATAAAAAAGGCTCCTATCCGCATGGGCAGCTCAACTGGTCATAGATGTGAAACTTTGGTCGATTGACCAGGATCAAGTCTCATCGGAGGCAGTGTGGGAGCAACCTCCCGTGAGCAAAGGTCTAGCCTCTAACAAGGGATGCAAACTATATTTTAAATATCCCGGTGAATTCCACGATAATCGACATTGGCATCTTATTTGGAATA